CTTGAAAGGAGAAATGGCCAGAAGTGAGATTATATACTGATTCATGGGCTGTAGCCAAGGTTTGGCTGGATGGTCAGGGACTTGGAAGGAGCATGATTGGAAAATTGGTGAGAAAGACATTTGGGGAAGAAGTATGTGGATAGATCTCTCCAAATGGGCAAAGGATGTAAACATACTTGTGTCTCATGTAAATGCTCATCAAAAAGTGGCTTCAGCAGAAGATGAGTTCAATAATCAAGTAGATCAGATGACCTGCTCTGTGGACTGTCAATCTCCTTCTTCAGCTATCCCTGTCATTGCTCAATGGGCCCATGAACAAAGTGGCCATGGTGGCAGAGATGGAGGTTATGCATGGGCTCGACAGCATGGACTCCCACTGACGAAAGCTGACCTGGCTACAGCTGCTGCTGAGCGCCAGATATGCCAATAGCAGAGACCAACACTGAGCCCCTGTTATGACACTATTCCCCGTGGTGACCAGCCTGCAACCTGGTGGCAGGTTGACTATATTGGACCACTTCCATTTTGGAGGGGACAGCGTTTTGTCCTTACAGGAATAGACACTTATTCTGGTTATGGATTTGCCTTTCCTGCACGTAATGCTTCTGCCAAAACTACTATCCAGGGACTTACAGAATGCCTTATCCATCATCATGGTATTCCGCACAGCATCACTTCTGACCAGGGACCTCACTTCACAACAAAAGAAGTGCAACAGTGGGCCCATGGTCATGGAATCCACTAGTCCTACCATGTTCCCCACCATCCTGAAGCAGCTGGCTTGATAGAATGATGGAATGGCCTCTTAAAGACACAGTTACAGTGCCAATTAGGTGGCAATAGCCTGGAGGGTTGGGGCAGGGTCCTCCAGAAGGCAGTGTGTGCTTTGACTCAGCATCCAATATATGGTACAGTTTCTCCTATAGCCAGGATTCATGGGTCCAGGAATTAAGGGGTGGAAGTGGGAACGATTCTACTCACTATCACCCCAGGTGACCCACTAAGAAAATTTTTGCTTCCTGTACCCTCGACTTTGCACTCAGCTGGCTTAGATGTTTTGGTTCCAGAGGAGGGAGTGCTTCTGCCAGGAGACACACAAACACTCCATTGAACTGGAAGCTAAGACTTCCCCATGGCCACTTTGAGCTTCTGATACCCTTAAGTCAGTAGGCTAAGAAAGGAGTAATAGTATTAGGAGGGGTGATTGACCCAAAAAACCAGGGGGAAATTGGACTGGTTCTCTACAATGGAGGTAATGAAGATTATATCTGGAAGGCAGGAGATTCCTTAGGGATAAATAATTGTGGTACAGCCATTGGTGGACTGCTTGGACTCTATCCTGTGAGCTAAGCTGATAAGTCTCTATATATATATATTCATTCTACCTGTTCTGTTTCTTTGGAGAACCCTGACTAATACAACTCCCAATCCAGGCCTTGTCCTGAAAACCAAAACACCAAGAAAATGAGTAAGTCCTGCACAGAATGAGGACCATGCTTTTCCATCAACATGAAAGCCAGCTTGAGGCAAGGGCCGTGTAGATATCCTCCACACGGAACAGAAATGACTATGGGCAGATCCAGACTTGAGGTTCTGATCTCAACACCTTTCATGCCAGAAAACCACTGAAGGGTATCCTCACATTTTCTGTGTTACTGAACAGAGCCACGGGACTAGTGAATCCCGAAACATCGACAGAGGAGAAAGCATTCCATATGTTCTTAATGGATATAGAGTTCATGGTGGAGTCTCACGTAGCTTTTACTGGGCCTGGTAGAAATAAACCCTGGCTCCCCAACTAACAGAAGATGGCAAAATCTCCATGCGGTTGGGTCAATGCCTAGGAATGGCAAACTATATCAGAAACTGCCTCCCTCCAGTGCTATAGCTCACAAGCCCCCACCTCATCCTTACTTCCTACAGTATAGTGCCAACTCGGATTGAACAGAGTAAATTTGGAGGGGTACGTTGTGGGTATTTTTAGTATCAGATCACAGAGGTTCAAAAGAGAAATAATCCTGAAAATGGAGTCTCAGCAACACCACCCATAATAGCAGTGCTGCATCTCAGCCACACTTATACTTGTGAGACTATGGAATATAATTTTGCAAGAAACAAAAGTGCTACAGACTGGGTCCACAGTAATAAAGTATTTTACGGAAGCAAAGACTACCTGTAGATGTCACGGCCGCTGTATGCTGCTTCTAAAATGTGCCCTGAGGGATAACAGAAGGCGACATCACGCTCAATGCTTCCTCCTCCTTCCCTTCACCACTACAGCGCAGTTGTCAACTGACAGCTGCCCGTATCTTCACCTCTGAAGTCCCCTGACATTCATGCCTCTTCTTCATTCCAGCTGCCACAACCTCAGCCCAAGTCTCATCACCTGTTATAAACCATACTGAGAGCCACATGGAAGGAACCATCGAGTCTAAGGAGACGGTTGGCCTTCCCTTGATCAAATTTGTCCAGGTTAAACATTATTAATGTAAATGTTTCATCCACTTGCTGACCGCAGGGAATTGTAAAAGCCCTTGTTGCCTATAATATGTGACACCCCTCCAAGGAAAGAGTGATTAAATCCATAGTAAGTAGCTGAAAATTAAACCCCCTCCATTAAAATAGTCTTGAGTAAAGACTGTCAGGATGTGACTTTCTAAAAGAAAATTGCTGAGAAAAGATAAGCACATAGTACTAGAGGAATTGGTATGGCTATGTGGTGCCAGGCCGGTTGCTTTGGAATATTGTTGGCGTTATGCTTTAACGTTCTCGTGTCTGCTATGATAAGATGGACTTCTTGCTTTTCTGAACTGTCTTTCACCATGAAACAGTCTAAGCTTTTGCAAATGTCGCGAAATCCTTTTAAACGGCAATCTTGTTCTCACTGACCTTTCAGAATGCAGGAACGGCACTTTTTCTCTGAGTCTCTTTATGTTTAATAGCAATGTATTCACATAGACTCAGTAGTTATTTTATTTTCACCTGTGAATATTTTCATAATAGATAATGCAGTCAAGGCTATACCCGCAGTGTCCCACTTAAGAAAGCTTTGTATGACAAGGTGAGGGTCAGGACAGCAAAGACCATATATAGCGCAGATCACTGTGAAGAAAGTGGGTTTTCCCCAGTAAAGACTGAAAAGAAAATGCTGTTTTCTTTAACACGACTAGAGTGGGAACCTTAGCATAGCTGGTAGCCCTTGAGGAGCAATGCATTAACCTCATCTAAGGATACAATAGGCAAATCCATGGAGATGACTTTCTTGGTTTAGTTCCCTCCCCTCAGAACAGAAGAGAAAATAAAGGCAATAAACAATATGCCTAGAATAACATAGACTACTAAAACTTCCTAGGAAGACTTCAGAAATTCGTTGAATTTTCTGGACTATGGAGGTAATGAGAATGGGTTATAAGGCAGGGAGACAGGAGGCACTTGGCTTTTCAACATATTCTTTTGGATTTTAAATCCACTACCAGTCACAAAACCCCTGATCATGCACAGTTCCCTCAAACTTCCATCAAATGACCAGCCAGTGATATTCTAACTGTAAGGGAAAACTTGGGAGCTGATCTTCCTCACAGGAAGAGACAAGCCTCACCACCCTAGAACCAGCCTCCCTGAACATCCCCTCACCCACAGAAGACACACCCCAACCTTCCAGTTGGATTCTCATTCACAGGCCAGGTGTGTTTTGCTTCCTTCTAGACTCACTTCCTCAAAAAACGTTTGCTTGCCGGTCCTTTATGTCCATCTTGCAAATTTTTTACCAATGAGATCCAAAACCTAGATTAAAAGGATTTGACCTCCCCAGGTGGCCTCATTAACACCTACAACTTCAGTATCTCACAGACTTAGTTTTTTTCGCCAGAATGCAATGAGGAATTCATACACACACACACACATACACACACACACACACACACACACACACACACACACGCACACACGCACGCACGCACACACACACAGGTTTTCTATTTGGAAATCAATAATAATCTTTGTTGATTACTTGTGATCACAATGCTTCATGTTTTACATTGCTCATCCATATCCTAAGTTAAACTTCTCAAAAGGCCTGTAATATCCCTGAAGTGAAAAGATCCAAACTTAGACCTGGAATCTTCATCTATTTGCCCTAGAAGAGACAACACAGCTTATAAAAATACACATTGTTTCTGACCTTGCTCACTTTCTCTATCATAAATAACTTCTGGCTTTAGAAGACATGAATTCACATGCACTTGTACACACTGACATACATGGACATGAAGTGCTTGCCAGGGAATAGCCAGTACCAACTAAGAAAGTCCAGTGCCACAGAAGGCAAATTCAAAATCCTGCCTTGGATATCATTAAGGAAGATTCAGAAAGGGGCTGAGGCCAGTGGGGCCACATTAGTTCCTCATCGGAAAACATTGCAAGAAGCCCCAGCTATCCCAGCCTATTGAGCCCCAGAGGAGAAACAGTGGTCCCCAGGGAGCTATTCTGTTTCATCTTTCTCTTGGCTCTATGCCATGCTCCAAGCAGAATATACTAATGAAGAAATGCTTAGGGGAGAAAGCTTTCCTCTGCCATGATATCTCTGCACTCTTAGAGTTGATATTCGGGCTTGGTTAAGTTCAAAGGATTTAAGAGCAGATAGTTGGAGAAAGACCGAGATAAACTGGAGGACAGGCGGTGATCTCAGATGCTGAAAACCTGCCCCTCCCACACCACAGTCAATTTGCCACCCAAAAGAACCTGGTGTACACTGCAGTCTAACAGATTTTCAAAGACTCTCTGTTCTTCATTTCCTCTTTTAATGGTAGTAGAAGGCGAATCAGCTTATGGTTCCTAATCTAGCTGGAGCGCTTACTTGCCAAGTCAGCCCATCTCCCCTTCATGAACCTGGAAAGCTCTATTGTATGCCATGTCTCTGGCAACTGAGACAGGCCTGACCACGCAAGCTTGCTCTGACCATTTGCACCATCTTCCAGGAGCCTCCTTGGATCCCCACTCACCATTCTTTTCTGCCTTGGGTTTCGGTGGCTCAGGTTCCGGTAGACATGGACAGGGCCCATCGCAAAGGGAGCTTAGGCTTTTGCCTGTAGAACAAGCATGGAATTCCAACTTGCACTGCAAGAGAGAGAGAGGACATACCGTCAGAACACAGCCACCTTGGACCCGTGCTTAGATTCCTGGGAGGCAGCTGTGCCCTTGCTTTGAAGTCACACAGATGGAGAAGGGAGAGGTCCACCTTAGTGAAAGGTCTGGATTATAAAACACTAACTCAGAATTGGCCTCTCATGTTTTACAAAATGTGCAGGAAAACTTCCAAAACACAGTAAGAGCACTGGAAGACTTATTTTACTGAACAGTGGGCTCAACTGTCATCATTTATAACATAAGATGATTTAAATAAAATTTAGTATGTGTAGAGTTCTACATGACCCATGAATCCTTCCCAGTCCAGCTTAGAAGGTTTCTTTCCAATAGATTCTCCCACATAAGGGGCGTTCTGAGAACATTCTAAGTAACCTGCTTACATGGTCTATCTGGGGAGGAAGAGTGTGCTACTTAGCTTTCTCATCGCCATAACAGATGCTTGCATAAACACCTTGAAAGGAAGAAAGATCTGTTTGGCTCATGGCTGCTTCATCTCATCATGGTGGGGAAGCTTTGGTGGAATAGCTCCCATCATGATGGACAGGAAGCAGAGAGGGAAAGAGGGGATGCCAGAACAAGACACAAAGCACAGGCTACAAACACATCTCCCAAATGACTTACTTCCAACCACTCCTAAAGTTTCCAGAGCCACATAAAATGGTGTCACCAGACAGAGACCAAGAGTTGAACACATGAGCCCATAGGAACATCTCATATTAAAGAATTTGTAAGTTTAGATGGTACATCTGAGGTGTTCTGCCCCTTCCTCTAGGAGCAATGTTCGGTGAAAACACTTTCTGATTGGTAGAAGTTCAAAGGAAGAAGAGATATCTGCCACAAAATAAAATTCACACCTGGCACTGTTATTGGGGCCAAGAACCTGGGGTTAGGTAGGTCATAGACACTAGTGGAGAATCTACAACTTTTATTCTGCTAAACGGATATAGCATAAATGAACTCCTAATGCCCACAGATTAGTTTAATCTCTCAGGCCTCATCGGAGAAGCCTCTTTTGGCAGTAGATGGGCAGTTAACACTAAGACAAAAACTGGTCAAGGTGCAAGAGAAAAGACTGCAGAGTGTTTAGCACTAAATGGAACAAGTTTCTCATGGCCCTCACCTCAAGGCTCAAGGCTCAAGGCTCTTCAAGGAAGAGGGAGTGGAAAGGTTGTTAAGAGCTGGGGGTGGTCGATGAATACAAGGAAACGGTATTTTCTGAACACAGCAGGGAAGTTGCACGTGTGAATTCACGGTACTTGTGACAGCATGCACAAGATCTGGTAAGCTCAAGCAGACAAAACCTCAGCATGGGTGAGCAGGTGGGCACGAAGTCCTGTCCCTAGCTGAGGCGCTATTAGCAACTGACACCTATTGGGAACATGTTCCAGGGGATCCACCCACACCCAAGAGTATTTGGGCAGCACAAATTGGACTGAACGTACTTTTAAAACATGCAGGACACAAAGTTGGGTGGTAGGCAAGTGGGGGTGGATCTGAGAGGAGATGGGGGAGGAGCAGTGAAGAGGATCAAAATACATTGCATGAAATTCTCAGAATTAATAATGGTACTTTTCAAAAAACCTTTTGCTTTCCCTTCCCAGAACCTAAGCTTATGTTGGCTTTTTGCTGACTAGAGAACCCCTGTGACTATAACTAGCCTGTGATTTAGTGGAAATGTCTACCTAATTCTGGGATTCAATATTAGAAGCCCATAAGCTATAACCTCCTGTCACCTTTTATCAGCAACAATAGTAGTATTTTGGTCCCTTACTTCTAGCTGTTTATATTTAAGTTTCAACAGACTCAGAACACTAGCAGGAGAGAGAGGAGGTATTTACAGGTGTAATAGACCACAACAGTTACTAGCATTTTTATTATTCCTATATTATGGAAGAAGAAATTGAGACTCTGAGAGGTTAAATAACTCATGAAAGACCTTAACACTGAGTCAAATGCATGACTGACTTCAGCGGTAAGTCCTTAAGGGTCCTAGGATACCTTGTGTCACATGGATGAGGCATCAGTGCCTGGCACTCTGTACCTACTGTGTGGCTAATTCTCTACCTTTGCTTTTGGCTCAGATGTATTATCTGAATCTCTTCCATTTTTCCTGTCAAGTTCTCAGGATCAAGGCCTGCATATAATCAGTCTTCTGCAAAGGCCCATGGCCTGGGTGCCTGGTAGAGGTTCAAAGGAAGAAGAGATATCCGAAATTTACTAAGCACCCACTGTGCATGCTGCTCTTATCAGGTGCCACGGGGAATCATTTAAGAGAAAGAGGACTTATAGTCCTTGCCCTTGGAAAACACAAATGCATACTTAAAAAGAAAGGCTGCCAACATATGTGAAGCAGCACGCATGCGTGCAGGTGAATACCGGCTCCCTGTATGAGGATGGGCTATTCAGTCCACACCAATTACAAACCCACGATGAATGTTGTAAAGCTGACTCTAAATGCACAGCAATCGCACAGTGGTATAACTCCAGCTGTCACCTATCCAAGGGACAGTGGCTCCCGAGACGCAAAGCTTCCTTCTGTACATGACTGTGAATTGTCTAGCATGTGCCCAGTGTGAATGCAAGAGCTATGGGGCTTTATGCAAAGAAGCTAGGGCCAGGCAGGAAACATCAACTCTTCCAACTTTGAAGTGAAACAGAGCCTGTTTGTTTAAAGCCCGGTAGACATGATACTCAGCAAGCTAGGTCATCTGAGTACGGAGGGCCTGAGACCAGAAAGACCCACAGGTGTGTGAGATGTCTACAGATAGCTGGGATGAACTGAGGAAGGCCAAAAGTGCTAGTGTGAAAAGTTTCTCCTCAAATAGCACAGCACCTGCATCCATTTGAGGACTAGGGTGAAGATCACTGTGACTAGTCCGGTACCCCCTTCTCCTCTTCATCTTTCTTGTCTTCCTCCTCCCCCTTCCTCCCTCACTTCTGGTTGGCTCTCTAGAATAAGGCTCAGTTTCAGACAGGTAGTTTTAAAATTAGTTTTTCAGAGAGTTTCAGGAACCGGAGATCCTGGGAGCTGGAAACTGCTTTCTCCTGGTTGCCAAAGGAAGGCCCCTCAGAGGTAATTGTTTAGCTCTTGGGCCACAGGGGCCGGGCCACCGGTGTATCCAGGAGGTAGTAGCAAACACCCCACTGCACCACACTCCTGAGTAGTTCTCTCGCCAGGGGCTGGGCCTGAGGGTGGCCACTGAGCCATGAACCCATGTCACCCAAGTGACAAACCAAGGAGGAGGAGGGCTGATCACCTCACACAAGCTAGAAAGGACTTGGCGAGTAAGAAGGAAAATGACTGAAGAGCCAAGGTGGCAGTGGTGGCAGCTCTTGGCAAAATGCAACTCTTAACATGTCTCATCACTGGCTCCCCCTAGGCGGGGAGGAAGACATAAAGGCTGCCGATTAATTAAAAAAAATAAAATAAAAGTCAGAACCTTGTTCATGAAAAATAAACAACAAAGACCGACATGATGCATGTCTCCTTGAGCAAAAATGAAAGGTGTTTTTCTTCAATATTGATGTCCCTCTAGTGAGAAATTCAAGCCAGTAAGTAACTAAGTAACTATAGCATCCATTTGCTGCATAGAAGCCAAAATGCTGTATCTTAAACACAAGCATAATTGTGTGGACAGAGCGATGGAGACAGGAAAAGAGTAGGATGGTTGTAATTAAAATTTGTGACTCTTCTCATGACCTGGAACTGTGAGTGCCTCCCATTAACTTGAAGCTAGGGTCGCTTCCTGTGAACCTGGAGCCATGATCCTTTGCCTTCAGTCTGGAGCTATGCTCCCCTCCTATGAACTTGATGCTGTGGTCCCCTCCTGTGAGCTGGAGTTGTGATCTCTCCTGTAAACCTCGATCTCTGGTCCCTTCCTGAGGGCTGGAGCTATGGCTCCTCCTGTGAGAGGGAGCTATGGTTATCTCTCCCAAGTCTGGAGCTGTGGTCCCCTTCTGTCAATTAGAACTGTGATCCCATTCCATGAACCTGGATCTGTCACCCCTTCCTATGTGCTGGAACTATGGTCCCCTCCTGGGGAGTTGTAGTCACTTCCCATGAACTGGAACTGTGGACCCTCCTGTGAACCTCAAGCTATAGTCCCTCCTGTGAATCTGGAGCTATGGCTCTGTCCTGTGAGCTGGACTTGTGCTCCCCTCCTATAAGTTCGAGCTATGGTTCTCCTCCTGTCTTGTGAGCTGAAGCTGTGGTGGTCCCCTCCTGTGAAATGGAGCTGTGGTCCTGCCCTGGGTGCTAGCGCTGTGGTCCACTCCCATGAGCCAGAGTTGTGATCTGGTCCTCTGAGCCAAAGCTGTGGTTCCCTCTTGTGAGCTGGAGCTGTGGTCCCTTCCCTTGAGCCTGGAGCTGTGATTCCCTCTTGTGAGCTGGAGTTGGAGCAATGGTCTCCTCCTGAGCAGAGCTGCCATTCCCTCCTTTGAAGATGGAGCTGTGGTCCTCTTACATGAATCTGAAGTTTTGCTCCCTCCCCTACTGTAAGTCATGGCTCCACATCCCTCTGGTGGTAGACTGATGGTGGAGCAGATTGGAGGATGGAAGAGACTTCCCAGAGATGGGCAGCAGTTTCAGCCTTCTCTGAGTGGCTTCATACCCCGTGGCCCCCTCCCCTGAGGTCCCAGGCTGTGCACAGCCCTGACTTTGAATCTTATGCTGGGGACAGGGGAGGTCTCTGCCATTTGCAGATTCTGGTCTTGGGAAGGCTGATTCTCTAGAACTGGCCTCCCACCTCCCCTAAGGTCCAGCTGTAGTCTTCACTCCACATGTTTCAGCCTTCTCTGAGTGGCTTCATACCCCGTGGCCCCCTCCCCTGAGGTCCCAGGCTGTGCACAGCCCTGACTTTGAATCTTATGCTGGGGACAGGGGAGGTCTCTGCCATTTGCAGATTCTGGTCTTGGGAAGGCTGATTCTCTAGAACTGGCCTCCCACCTCCCCTAAGGTCCAGCTGTAGTCT